CTTCACCAATAACAACCCTTACTATCTTAAAACAACTAAGTCTTGCTAAGGTTCTTTCAAGACCTGGTCTTCACCTTCCCATGTCCCAGTTACCTGCCAAAGAGAGGAATACATAGTTTCTCAAGAATCGATACATTTCCTGTAGTACCTTTAAGACTACCAGTGCACGGATGGAATATATGTTAGCATTCTACAGTTGACCAGTTTTCCCCAAGACAGATTGGTCTACTGGCAGGTACATAGCATCAAGGAGTAAACCCATGTATATAAAGCCTTTAAAAAATATTTAAAGGAAAAAAAACCCCACAGCTATATTTGCTTGTGGGCATGTGGATATATCATCTAAAGTCTGAAATGCCACATTAGAAAATAGGGAAAACGAACAGGAAAAGACTTTTTTAAAAAAACAGCTATGTCTGTTTTTACAGCAGCTGTTACCAGGGCTAAGACTGAGAGTAGGGAAAAATAAGTATTGCAACTTGTGTTTTAAAAGCACTTCTTTTCCTTTTTTAAGGAAGTATGACAGCATACTTTGCTTCAGAATATTTAACAATAGTATATTAAATATCTAAGAAGCAGTACCAATTATAGAGTAATTCACTAGGTCTTTATTTGGGGTCCCAATTTCACATTGTGATGGGTAGAGTTTCTTATAAAAACCCAAAATAAGAAGTTTAGTTTTTTGGGTTTGGGATTTTTTTTTTTTATACAAAGTTTGAATACCTAAGCATGTCCAAAAAAATCTTTCTCACCATGCTTAAGACATGTCTAGGTCACAGGCTTATTTTTAAGTCACGAGTTTTATTCAAATACATATCTATTTCTCTTACCTACAGTGTACCAACTTGCATCTGTTAATTTATTGATAACTGCTTCCTGGTATGTTCCATCTGGATTCTTCACTTCCACAACAGTTCCTACCTAAAATACAAGAGCCACTTAGCACTGGAGAGCTTCTAAAACAGACAACAAAGTTAACAATTTTGTATTTAGCAAACAGAGTTAATTTCTAACCTCTTTCTATGTTAAATATACCATGCTTTTCCAGTTTCATTTCAATATATTTGTATCCCTCAAAACTTCTTTCTTTCATTCCTCTAAAATAAGCCAACTAACTGAGCTGATTATTTCCTGCCAGCAGGTGGGGAACAAGAACCAATTTGAGTGATGTCATTCTCTTGAATAAGAGCTTGCCCATCAAATCCTCCAGCTGAGTTTTCCAAAGCAACAGTGACTAAAAAAATCAGAGCCAGCCAAACTTCTTAGCTTTAAGGCCAAAAAGAACAGAGGCTTGCATCAGCCTGTATGCTGCATCCCTTTTAACTACAAAGGAAAAAGTTACCATGAAGAGTACACTAACTCTAGCTTTGCAGCATTGCCTTTTATGCTTCGTGATCCTATCTGGCCTGTGTAATAAACTGAACCTTCCACTTTCACCCCATACTGCATATACACATTTATGTCAAATACTGAAAAAGAATGCTTTTTGAAGTGTTAGCAAAATATGAAAAAAATGTATTACCTTTAAGGGACCCTTTATGTGGTCATCCTGCACTTCCACTGTTGAAGAATCATGTCTAAAAGTTACCTAAAAAAAAATATAATTCAACTGACAATCACTTGATACAATTGAGCAGCATAAGCACATGCAGATGTCAATAGCCCTTCTCTTACTCTCATTTTACAGTTAGTCACCATAATCATTCCACTTGCTGAAAACTGTTTCATTCATATATTTTAGAAATATGAGGAGATAATTTCTAGTCATCAAAACTTCTAAAATATCTTTTATCTTCCAGAATAGAACCATTACCTCTAAAGGAAGCGACAAACAACAGTTTACCAACGTTTAATGGCTCAAAACGATCTCTGCAGTTCTCTTAATGATTTGAATTGCACTGCTCTAGTACCACGCCAAGAAAGGAGAAAGTTTCAAGAGTTCTGAGCATAAATAATTTTAAAGAAATGTTTATATTTCAATGCACTGAAATCAAACAGTTCTGGCACCTATATCTAACCCCATATCGTGGGTTTTTTAGCTTTTGCTGATTAAAGTGCATTTCCCTCACTCACAGTTGAAAGACTCACATGAAAAAAGTACAGGACACTGCTGTCAACTAAAGAAAATGAACAGCCCAAATAGCCTTTCAGTTAATGTCAGCCTAGCCTACATGCTGCTAGTTAACTAGAAGTAAATGTACTGGTGGCTAACTTTTCAGTCTTTCAAAACTGGAGTAAGTAAATCCTGTAAGTATTTCCAAGGTATTTTCCCATGTCATTGGCTGTGTCTTTAATCCTACACATGCTGTCCTCAGAAAAAAATGGTCTGGAAATTCAAACTTATGATTAAGTTACCTGTATCAGATGCTACTGATATTCACCATTCATTTAACTCAAAATTAACTTGGTCACACTGAAAGTCATAGGATCCTCCTATCAATTACACCTGAAGTTTTATTTCCACTCTAGTTTTAAAATTCAGGGAAACTGACAAAATTCTGGCATTACGTTTTATGTACACATGTACATTTACACATTTTATTAACACACACAAATGATATTCTAATGTTCACCGGAACACACTTGCTTGGTGTAAGTATACGACGTTTTATTTAGTATTCACAAGAAGTAAGAATGTAACGTGAGATTCAGCCCTGTAAAAGTAACTCTCAACTACAGCAATCCTACATTAAATCTGAGCACTTGGTTCACGAGTGTACCCAAGGTTACAAAGGTTACATTCTCACTATAATTGAGAGTTTCTTCGTAGCGCACAGCAATAGCAAAATTTCCTTCAGAACAACAGCGTTCTCTAAGACTAGTTCTCTTACTTAGTCTCCTCAGGAGGAGAGTTTAAGGAGTTTTGTAAACCTTGAAAGGAGCAAACAGCTGAGAACAGCATCTACAACCAGGACTAAGGAGAGCCTACCTTGACTGGCTGATTAGAAAACAAATGCACTATAACGCTTTACTGCCTTCCAGGTGCTACTTCATGAAAGAGCCATCTCATCCATCTTCTGTTAGAACCACAGCAATACATATCGCTGTGAAAGTATGTTCTTTTTAGAGCTGCATCCCACCTACTGATGGCAAATATTTTCTGTCCATCAGACAGACAAAATCATACTTTGTAACCTGAAAGCCAGACAAAGGATTCAGGCTAGGATTTAACTGAGCAAAGACTACCCTTCTGAACTTCAGCCTGACAGATACAGGTATTTATTCCTCTCTTTTGGGGGATTTATCTAGAAATCAAAAGTTCAATTCAGACGCAAAGTAATCTGAAACTTGTGGTCACTATTGGCTCATATGAAATAACCAGTATATCAATCCTGATTTAGAGACATCTGTTTTTATTTACTTGCTGTAATTATCTTAAATGTATTTTACAGCAAAAAGGAACTCTATCCAAAACCATGAGCCAGCCACAATGAAAGATAAGCAAAGCAAATTGCTTTTGTGTATTCCAGAATGGTTTGTCTTTTTAAAGATGCCTTGGGGCTTTGACTCTTTTTGGGGAGAAGATTTTTTTATACCAACAGTTTTTGCTTCTCGAGATATTCATATGTACTCAAAAATAATACTGGTTATTAACAGGAATATTCAAACTCCAAACTCAGTGTGACACCACTGGCCTTTCTTGAAGCTGAGAAAAGTGATGTCAGTATTTGTTAGTGTGGGTTTTAATTCCCATAATATTTGTCAGTGTGGATCCTTTCTGTCTCAGGCGAAAAATTAAGACATTCAGCATATCAACCTGTTTAGATTCAGTTGAAATGTCCCTTTTCTTCACCATCCTGAAAAGACAGTCCTGGTAGGCTCTATACAGCAGATGCTTCACTAGGTTCTGTTTAATAAAGACCTACACAGAAAACAGTTTCTTCTGAAACTTCTGTGGAGGGTGCCCAAATACAAGTGGGTACGGATGATGGTGCTGATTGTTTTAGGAGACACTGTCAAAATAAACTGGTTTAAACAGCTCTCTAAGAAAACAGACCCTATGAAGATGGAGTGGACTACCACTCTTCTAACACCGAACGTCTTGCCCTTTAGTCAAATTTGTACTGCTTTCAACACTTTTCACAATTCCAGGCAAATCTTAAGTTTTACTGCTTTCCATGGCAAAGTGTGTAATGCAGTTACACTGCTAATGTAAAATTCTGTACCATGTGCAGAATCTGCCAGAGACTGCTAAACTGTGAAATACAGTACTAATTGACACTGAAATGATAAATACATAGCACTTGCATTAAATTGAATAAAGTTATTAAATTATACTGGTGATGGAAAAGTTGTTATGAAGGTATCCCTCAAAATATTCTAAGAAGCAGAATTTGACAAAAGAAGAAAGCAGGTAAACGGAGATGCAATTAAATGTATTTTACTTGCCTGAAGATGACATACTCCATATTGAAAAAATTTTGTTGCCGTTCTTTCTCAAGAGAGCATCTAGTTATAAAACTTAAACGAAAGCTTCAAGCTGAAATTGATGTTATAAAGTTAACTGACTTTACTTTTCCGCTAGTAGTTGTAGGAGACCAGGGCATAAAATATATTGGGGCCAGAAGAAACTGTTAAACAAATAAATGTTAAACTGGAAAATAAATGCAGCAGATAAGCTACCAAAATTCCAGACAAAATATACCTGGTAATAAGAATCTTGGTTAGAGCTAATACTGGGGAAAGTCTGCATGTGCCAGAAACAGATGAAAAGATTTTTAGAGAAAATCAAGGGGTCACTGTTAAGTTTAGGGAATATACATTCCTGGTGGAGGAAAGACAATGTAAACAGATACTGTTACTGCACTCTCACACACAAAAACTCAGCCACAAATCACATTACTCTACAAAGCAACAACAGTACTGAGGCTTAACTGCCCTAAGCTATACAGTAACAGCAAAGACACACACACGCACACACAAACTTGAATCCTCAGGACTGTAGGCACAGCCTCCACAAACAACTTACAGTAAAAATTCTATTCCATTTCATTTCAAGATCTTTCTGCAAAACATTGCAGTGACCAAACTGCACGTAATAAACCCATAAGAAAATATTTATCAATGAAAAACAACCTTAAGTGCAAGTGGCCATCCAAGAAGGCGGGCTGAAACCCCTATAAAGAGCTGAAAGGAGTTAAGATTTCACTGATCTAGGCACAATGCAATTCCTATACTTAAACAGTGACACTTCAACAGCTTAAATACCAATACTTAGTCGCTTAAACTCAATGGTGCTGTAAAGCATAGACCAGCTGATGCTGTTAAGAGTTATGACTAATGAAATGAGAAGACCACTAATTTGCTCTAAATGCTTTTTAAAGATGTCAGATTTCAGACTAAAATCTTCTTGTTATAGTTAACATTATTATCAAATAAGTGACAATAGTCCTTCCCAGCAGGGCTTTTGGAGATAGCCTGCTCTCTCCCTCATACATAATACAGGCAAAATGCAGCCATAGCATGAGGCAGATTCAAGCAATGCATGACAGTTTATAATGGAAGCTCTTCTGTAACAGGTTATCACCACTCACAATTCACACATTTTCACTTATATTTACAGCAGATATAAAAAAAATATTCTGCCACTATAACTCAGTTGCAGAGCAACAACCTAATTTATTTTTCGTAAGTGGTTTTGATCCTTGCTCTGTTATATTTCTGTATGAGGTTAAGAGGCAGAGCAGAAAAATAGTACCTGCTCCCAGATTAGAAGCTTTTAGGGCAACATTATCCAAACAGAAATATAAGGCCATTTTGCAGTGTAGACTTACTACGTAATAAAAAAAAGTCCAAACATTGTTCTCTTTATTTCTAGAAATTGTACTTTAAATTTCTAAGGGATGTTAAAATGTATCTCTTGTATTCCCTCTCCACAACTTTTATTTGTGCTTCATGTGGCTTATATTGATTCATTCAGTCATTAACTACTCATCATAAAGATTAGGTGAGATCCCCTGCTTGCTATACTGTAGGACTCAGTATGCCAAGTCTTTGTTGGAAGACAGCAGGGTTTCGTCTTATTCCTGAAGCATTATCTAGTTGTCACTGCTAAATGGCAGTGACCTGTGCCCCTGAGGTATAAGAAACCATATTAAACCTACTTTGAGGAGTTTTAGCTATTTTCTGATAACATTCTCCCATACATAAGCCTACATTTGTCTTATTTTGATCAATTACTTTAAGGTCAGCCTATGGCATTGAAGGCCATAAAAACTGGATGCAAGTAGATGACAAAGCAGTGAAAGAAAGAGAATGTATTTAATTGTGTGGGAGTGGGGGGAACTCCTCCCAACAAAAATAAGCTTACCATTTTTTCAAAGGCTGCACTGCCAGCCTCCAAGGAAAGGACAGCCTCTTAGCTGTCTTGAGACTATAAAAAAGTTTCACCTTGTGCCATTTTGAACATGGATGACTTTTTTTCCCCAAAAAAGTGTTTGCAGGAAAACCACATACCTTGACTTTGACAAGTCTTTTTGCTGTCTTGATCTTGGCTTCACAGAAGGCTCCTCTATACTTGGCACTCACATCAGTGCCCACTGTGAGATAGGGAGGCTCATCAATAGCCTGGAACAGAAAGGAAAGTAACTGGTTTTTAACTGCTGGCCACTGGCAATATAGCTGTCATAGTCTAGCTTTTGTGGACAGAGCATTACAAAACAGCCCAATAAAACTTAACTTGAGAGCATATGTATATCACAGCAGTAGAAACACAGAACACAACACTAAGCTCATACAATGACTACCATAAATATAATAAACTGATACCACAGTTGTCTCCAACAAGCACCACATGAGCCTCCAACCTCTGCACCATCTGAAGACACAGCAGATGGCCAGTTCTGCTGCAATGGTGAAGGCCACCCAAGCATTCTACCTTCTCCTTTAAGTGCCTCAAGATCTGGTGAGTCTCATGAAGACACTGGTGTTTATTTCCCTCAAATAATTAAGGTTTGTTTTTCATTAATAAGTAGAACAACTCTGAAGTGACTTTACTTTTTCACTTTTGAATAAAGTAAATTATACAGATGGGCACTCAGCAGGAGAACAGCCTGAGGAACAGAGTACAGTAGGAGAATAACAGTAGGATAAATGCACAACAAAGGTGAAGGGCCCCACACAAAAGACAAGGTTCTGTAACAAGCAACAGAGGAACAGGTGACACCCACACAGGGAAACAAGAAGAGGAGGGAAATAAGTGGTTTTGGGGGTAGGAGGACAACATGGGTCCAATTAGTATGCTGAGTGAGCTCATCCAGGCTCTGTTCCTTCAAAGGAGGTCCATCTTCTCTCACCCAACCTCTCCTAGTGTAATCTGGGGGAGGAGGTTCTAGATAACTGAACCACCTTACTATCGCTTCACAGAATGCGAGTCAGAAGCAGAGGGTGACAAGCAACAGGAGTGAGGTACGTTTCCAAGAGCTGCAAGCCTCCACGCAGCCCCAAACAAGAGCCGGGAAGAGAAATCTAAGACCTTGTCTAAGCCCACATCGTGTTTCTGCACCCCTACGGATTCAAACACAGCTTACAAGAGGCAACTCTGGCACATCCAGGCTCTCTCTAGGAAGAATATAGAGAAAATCTCCTTCACAGGTCTCAGCTACTATTTGCTACTGAGGTATTTGCACTCAGCATCAGGTAATTCCCACTGGCTGTTTCCAGCTCCAACACATCAGAAGTAAAGGCTCTATACTCTTTCGAAACATCTTTCAGTTCACACAGGAAAAAGAAGAAAGAGAAAAGTGAAGCTGATGGTAATCTGTGGGGGTTTTGGGGGGGCTTTGGGTTTTTTTGTTTTGGTTTTTGTTTTGTTTTGGGTGGGGTTTTGGGGTTTTTTTTAGATTTGGG